AACTTATACCATACAACTTTTCTAGTTTCATATTCTAATTTTACTTATTTTATGGATGGATTAAGAATTGCTATATTGGTGAAAAATATCTATATATTGAGAATCGTGGTAGACAGTTGGGTTCTTTTTCAGGTTTTATTTTTTTTCCTGTTGCTGACTTGCTATTTTGTTTTCTAGGGTTTTTTAGGACAATATCAGTAGCAGAATTGACAGCATTCTCTCATGTTTCAAATCTTACAGAGCACATGCTCATTGTTTCTCTATAGCTGTTCTCCCTTGCCCACAGTTTTACTTTCTAAGGTTTGAGTTAATCAGTCAACCTCAGTCTAAAAATATTAATAGAAAATTCCTGAAATAAAAAATTCTAAGTTTTAAAGTGTCGTTTTGAATAACACAATGAAATGTCACTCTCCCTTGCTCTATCCCACCTGGGATGTGAATCTCCCTTTTTTCCCCACATGTTGTATATTACCTGCCCTGTGGCAGCTGGCAGAGGGAGACCACAGTCACATAACCTTTACTACAGTGAATTCATTAGGCTATTATTAGTTTCTTACCATGTAATTTATAAATTAAACTTTTTTGCAGGTATTTATGCATAGCATAAACATGTTATGTGCAGGATGTGGTGCTCTCTGTGGTTTCAGTCATCTACTGGTATTCTTAAAATATCTCCGTGGATAAGCACAGAAGGAAAACACAATTTTTTGTGTTAACAATAGTTTTCCTTCCATGAAATTGAAAATGTCCTATGTTTTCTTGGGAGCCTTTAAGAATATAAAATTGTGGCAAAATTTTCTGGTTCTTTTTTTTGAAAATTTGTAGTAGTTTTGTTTTCTCATCAATTCTGTTAATGTGATGGGTTAACATATTATTTGACTATTAAAACACTTTTATTCCTAGAGTAAAAAACTGCTGTGTCATATTAACTTTTTGTATATTTCTAGATTAGAAATATATTAATATTATATAATATTAAATATTAAGATAAATTATTAAATTTATTATCATAATAATATATATAATTTTCTGATAAATTTTCTACATATGCGTGATCAATATCAACATGTAATGTTCTTTGCTTTT